TGACTACTGCTCAGGCTTTCATTTTTTAATACAGTTGTCAGTTGGTTCATCACTTGATTATACTTGGAAAATGGAGAGTTAATAAACGGCACATAAAGCAACTGAAAATTTGCTTTCAGAATTCAGATTCGTTAAAATTATATGAAATTTTGGCAGCCTGAACTATTTCAATTGCTCTACGAAAGCTTCACAAAAAGGGCCTCAAAATGACACAAACTTGCCTTAAGTTTTATCGAAAATATCTGCCGTCGATAATCTTAAAAATAATGGAAAATGCAGGTCAAGTATGCCATATACACAATGCTAGTCACGACGAGAAACTGGCTAACAACGTCTGAACTTCGCACTAGTACGAGCGTTTGTGATGCACTGTGTGTGGTGGGCCGGCAATGAGACTCGTTTCACGGTATAGGATTTCGGTGAAACACGCTGCATCGTTTCACTTCACATACCAGTAAAACTTCCTCAAAATAAATTCATGAACACGGGAAATACATACACAGACAAGAGAGATCAAGTTTTGTGAATAAGCTTGCAAAGATCGTCCTTCTCAATCGCTGTTTTCTTGGCATTTTTATGATGTCTATTCCGTCCGGCCTGCACGCAAAACACTGTACGGCAGGCAGTGCATTGCACCGCGCGCGACTATTACATTGACTGGTTACCGCATTTTCATCATGCCTTCATTGGGACTTAGTGCGCGGCGCAGCGGGAACCAGTCATTGCTGCACTCGCACGTACGGGCCCACGTGTTTTCATGCAGCTCTACGCGATATGCAGATTGTGCACGCACAGTATACAACCTCTGTACACACACGATCTTATACAGTACGTACGAGCTCGGTGTTCGTTCATATACCAACGAAAAATACGTGTAGCTTAAGACTTAAAATCCTTTGCGTTTTTATCACTTCTTATTTTTAAACTTCCCGTGTTTGATGAGCCCTCTTTTGGATTTCTGAGGAGCGCTATTTTTGGCGCTCCTTCGAGACAGTCGAGGAGCGCCTGCGCAATCGCGCTCCTTAAAAATGAAGGACTGGTGAACCTAGAGTTGAGTTTTGGAGTGGCCGCTGTATATTTTACCCCAAGACTTGGCTTAGCCCCATAAATGTGGCCTATTTTTACTGGACTACCTCTGTAAAGTAATGCCACACTCCTTGAATTCACTTAAACCATGAGGACTTGTCACCAATTTTGTTTCCACATTCAGACTGCGTGCCTAGTTGATTTATGCTTTAAAAATACATTGTACACTCGCCCTCTTATTAACAAATTCATCCAAATGTGGATGACTCTTAGTCTTGGCATCAGTTTGTGTGTAACTCAATTGCAAGCTTAGTCCAACTGAGCAATGCAAAAATGACCTCTTGCATCAATCCTTTCTGTATAGTGCGCCTTCATGCGTGTATATAGCGTCAGGAACGGAATGGCTGCCGCATGCTGCGGTATATCGTGTGCGTACGTACATCGCGATCGTATGGCTTGCTGGCTGATGGTACACGCATGAGTCTGAAGGGAAACATCCCGGGTGGATTCTGTTCTGAAATTTGCAAAAAAAAGATGAAAAAAAGAATCCGCGTTCCGTACTCAAAACGGAGAAGTAACATGTTCATGAAATTCGCTTGCTTGTGCACGTGCGGGCACGGGTAGAATCAGACAGGCCAATCACAGTTAGTCTGGTTCCCTGACCCATCGTCCTTCAGTCTTCAAAATGGGAATACAGTCTAAATCACCGTGGGCTCTAATAAGGCGCCCAATTAAGGCGCCCAATCGATTGGCCCACTAAAATTGGCCCATGTGATGCTTGCCGTGCGCGCGAACACGCACAACTCAAAGTCAAGCGATCTTCATCAACGTGTATCTTCTCTATGTTGCCCTGTACGAAACGTAGATTTTGTCATTTTTTTGTTTTTGCAAATAGGCCTATCAGGACAGAATCCACCCGGGATGTTTGGGTGCAATACGTGAGAATATCAAGAAGTACCAGTTTAGGAGAAAACTGTGCAGCGGTTTTCTGACAATAGACTACATTTACATTTGGTACTTAGTCGTCGTTTCGTAGTAGTCAATCAATTCAATGGTGATGCTGTCTATGGGGCTCTGCTACGCGGAGCAGCCATAGTTCTAGGGGTAGGAGGGGGCGGGGGGAATAAAAAGGGCAAATGTTCCCCTGCCCACGCTCAAAAAATGATAAATTGAGAATACATGTATGTTGAAAAAGTTAAGTAACTTTTGGGAAAAATGTGCTTTGCCCCCCACCCCTTGGAAAAATACTGGAGACACCCATGTCTTTCTTACAGATTAGAATATAAGTTTTAGGGGACCAATATAGTTGGTTGATGCTTGGGTGTGAAGGATTGTTTGGACATTAGGAAATTGTTATTCAAGTGCAAGAGAAATTTTTGTCTTGATAAACAACATTATTGAGAGTATAAAAGTGGACTGACCTAGTCCGAGTAACTTGGACCCAACTTATCGCCTTTTTAACATTCAGACATGGTCTGGTGATAGTGGGGTCCAAGCAACAGTGCTACCATCGCGCGACACAATTCTGCCGTTGACCCAAAAATCCAAAATTGCCCAACAAAAATATCAGATTTCACCCTCAAAACGGCCTCCAAATTACTAGCATAGCTGCCAACTATTACAAATTTTTCGTAATTATTACGAATTTTTTGTTAATTTACGAAAATACAAATTGCCACTAAAAAATTACGAATTTTCCATTTTCTACCTAACGAAAAAAATAAATACTTGTAAAGTATCGTTTTTGCCCGAAAACTTCTGGCGAAATGTTACGATAATGGATGGACTGGTGACAAGTCTAATAAGCAGTGCAGTCAAGCACCTAATAGACATCATTGCAGTGTGCGCAGTGGAGTACTTGAGGACCAGACTAAAAATATTTTTCAGTGGTGTGTGATTTGTGTGCACCTACCATGTGGATGTGTGGTTGTACCATAGAGCTACATGTATATTAAATTACTAGAGCACTAACTTTGAGTACAAAGTAATGCCTGCTGGGCGCATCCATGTTTGTGCACAAACCTATGGAGACCTAGAAATTTTATACGGCTTTTGTACGGCTAATTGCATATCTGCGTTTGTATTCCATACCGGTGCGTTATCAAAGCCAATACGCCCAAAACCGAAACGCACTCCCTGAATCAGCAAAATGAGCGTGTCATTTTGCTCTACGCAAATAGCGCAACGCGTGCACGTATTCGCTGCAGATGCTTTTTGCCGTCACGGTTTTTTTTAACCGTCAATGACGCGCTTAAGCTGTTTGCGTATGTTCTACTTGCGCGTTGCATGTAGAGTATACTTTCAAAATTCAATCCATCTAATTTCATTATGTTCTACAAACACGCACATGAATTCAAAATGTCTGCGCCCAGGACGGCTTCAAAGCATCTCCGCGCGCAGAATGACGAGTAAGCGCTCTTTTAATTTAATATAGCTCTATGGGTTGTACTGACTACTTTTCAATTGGTCGCTTATTGATCCTGTGGGATGAGACCCATCAGTGGGAGATTTTGATCATGGAATTTAATAAGAGTATGGTTGGAATAATTGGTAATAGAGTTTGAGTTTATCACAACGTCCAGAAAAGATAATCAGCAGCGTTTGCAAGGTATGTTGGCAGGATATTTCTATTGCATACGGTGGCCCTAATTCATTGACATTGTATGTAAAAACATGATACGAACTCGAAACTCAACATCGATAGCATGCATTTCAAAAAATATGCGCACGTTATAATTGTATTTGACTTCAACAAACAAATACAGACAGTAAAACAAAATTAATTTAATAAAAAACTTTTAATTTTTTTTTTTTTTTTTTTTTTTTAATTATCCTATGGTATACAGTACATTATTAATCACAACAAGAAGGGTATGCACATGTATGTGTACATGTAAACCATGTACCTGTACTCGAAGTTGGTAAAGCTGGTACATGTACATACACTGTTAATATACGAGCAGTTGAAAATGACCGCGCGGGTTGATTACTAATTTGGATTTTGAAAAGTTGGCAGCTATGTACTAGATACGCCACCTGAGGTACAAGTAGAGATCAATGATTAAGACTGAAGTACTAAAGTTTACTAACGATTCGGATGAAAAGTGAAATTTCCTGTTCAATTCCTTCCTTCCTCCCTTCCTTCCATAGAGTGCAGTCCTAAAAGAGATGAGTATAGTCACACTGTGGTGTTGAGTAACACGCCAGGCTGTCGCGTATCGTATTACAAGCTTCACGTGATTTTCGAGATCGCTCCACGTTTTCCCCGCTCCACATGTGTAGTGTACGCGATATATGTATGGTACCCACATACATCGCGTACACTACACATGTGGAGCGGGGAATACATGGAGCGATGCACAGTGACATCATGAGATACGATGTACGTACGACAACCGCGTGTGTTGGAGATAGCTTCAATAAAGACTTCGCGAACTGTTCGCGAATGTTCGCGAATGTTCGCGAATATCTGTCCGACGCTAAGAGCAAACCAGTTCGCGAACTTCGCGAAGCTTCTCATCCATGCGTGGTCAAGTTAATGAGGTAGTCACGAAACCTGCGCCTTTGTTATGTTAATGGACTTGTTTTTGAGAAACACCTCCGAAATCATTACAAAATGTCATATTTTAGTTTTTCTTGTACTGTTTGAAGTTGATTATTAGATTCAGGAATGACTGCTGCATGGTATGAGGTATGTCGAATGGAATCTGGGTTGGGATAATAGAGGGAAAATTGACCATTTGTGTGATACCATGGGTGATACACTGGAGATATAGAATGTATAGGGTCACGTTTGCTGCCGAGTCAGATCATGGATCATGTGTTCATGATAATGTTCACTTGTTTCACTTCAAGATGTTTGGAGATAATGTTATTTGTTGGTTGGTTACCCAGAGCAGCACTTACACATTCCATTGTTAATTTTGAATTTTAAACGAAACAGACTTCTTTTCCCCCTTTTTTTTTTATTGCAGTGAAAACGCAGAATGGTGAAGATTCGACAAAAGCGGTGCATCATCACCTTGTTGCCACTCCTTGGAATATTGCTGTTACTCTTTGGAATATTTCAAACCAAAATCGTTCAAGATGGAAATCTTGCCTCAACATCCAAAAGCATCCTCAAGACTTTACAGTTTGCAGTCAAAGTGAATGATGAGCGTGTGATGTTGTTGGAACCCATGAGAGATGAAAGCAAACTGGTGAAAGTTGTCCCAGTAGACACCTTACATTCACAGATTCATGTACACATTCAAGATGATCACAGTAATGGAAGTCTGTTGAGTTCTGAAGGATTACTAGCAATAAAAGAAGTGTCATTATTAAGGTCAAATACACTTGATAAGTCTAGTAAAACGGCATTAATAGCTCAACACAAATTAGACAACCCGACGGACACCTTCCGCTTTCAAGCTGTCAACCCTGCGCTGCATACCACACCAGAACACAGTAAGATACAAATCCTCATTGTGACTAATCGGCGCTCTGGATCCTCTTTTTTAGGCCAGTTTTTCAATCAGCATCCTGATGTGTTCTTCCAGTTTGAGCCACTAAAATTAACGGAGTGGAAACAAGAATTCTATCCAGACGGAATTGAATACCTTCGTCACTTGTTAAAGTGCCAATTTGACAAAACGCCGTACTTGGTGGAATTTTATAACCGTGAACCTCTTCATCGAGCTAGTAGTAAAGTGATGAATGACTTTCCCCTGTGCAATCTGACAGAGTCCCTCCCAAAAAAGTCAAGGTATAAGGTGAGGTGTCCTCCATTGGAAACATTACCCCTTATACAAACTTGTCAGAAGAAGCAGCATCAGACAATCAAACTAATAAGGCTGTACAGCATAGCATCCTTAGAACCAATTGCCCTTGACCATGATATCAACTTAAAGATAATTCACCTAGTGCGAGACCCTCGGGCAACTTACATTTCAAGAAGTCGAATACCTGGTGCAAATGTTTCCTCAGTGCTTGGTAAGTCACTTGATGCTGGCATTTCCTACTTGTGTAGACGCATAAATCGTAACTTGGACTTCATTCGTAGCCAGCCAGCATGGCTACAAGGAAAGTACAAACTAGTCCGTTATGAAGACATTGCAAACAATCCCAAAAAGCTTGCACAAGAAATTTATAAATTCACTGGCTTGGGGCAACTACCACAAGAAGTTCTTAAGTGGATACAAAGTAACACTCAGAAATCGGCCATCAAACCAAATATGCAACCGGGTGAAAGCCACTACTCTACCACCAGAAATGCATCACAGGTCCCTGAAGCATGGAGGTATGAAGTACCACTCAAAGTGGTGCTTCGAATGCAAGAATTCTGCAGAGAGACTTTGAGATACCTTGGTTATCGTGAAGTCAGAACAACAAAGGAGTTACTGGACAAGAACAGAAGTTTGGTTGCACAACTCAAAACGTCATGATGAAATTTGTCTTTCAATATTATTTTATTTTTTTACTTAAACTTTATTTACCTCGTACCAATGTATAAGTATTGTTATTGTTTTTTACATTTGTTCTGTTCTAATGCACCAGAGAAGTAGAAGTAGTCTCACATGCAAGCTTATGTTCTACCACCTAACCAATCAGGGCTCAAATTCATGGCTAACTGCAGAATTCTGCGCTTATGGTCACTGTTCTGTGCTAACCGCACTAGCACAAAAATTCTGTGCTAACCCTGTAAGCACAGAAGTCTTACTTACAATGTATGGGATGCACGCTTGTGCAGAAGCCAACATTCTGTAACATTTCTTACTGTAAGCGCATGATTTTCTGCTATAGTACACGTATGCAGGGATTTGTGGCTAGCAGTAAGCAGAGCCATGACATTTGGCGCAGTAGTACAGTGTGTTCCAAAAAAAGCTGGCCCGGACAATTCAGCAGCCATATCTTCATGTGTTTGTGTTTTTCATGCTGTTGATGTTGTTTATTACCTGTGGAAAAGAAACTGAATTGATTGAAGAGAAGAGACTGTGTCTGTGAAGAGACTGACAATAAGAGACTGTGTGTTTTATTTCCATGTTTATGTTTTATGAAATAAAGACGCACTCTCTTCATGTTTGCATGTGAAATGTGTTCGTGTGTAATACAGGTTCATGGTTGCCCTCTCTCCACTTATTTACCAGCACAAGCTAATGCTGCAAAAAGTGTAAGTCTCAATTTAATAGAGCTCTAACATTTCTAGTCGTGGCTTTCAGTGTTTGTTTCAATCAATTCAGTTTCTTTTTCCACAGCAATAAACAACATCAACAGCATGAAAAAAAACCCACAAAGTTTAGTCTTACATGAATATTTGTTTAGATATGGTCACTGATTCGTCTGGACCCACTTTTTTCTGGGACACACTGAATGAGGAACATCATATTCAGAGATACTTTTATACATGTATCTCGACTACCACCCTCAAACCGTGTTCTATACCTTATACATATTCTTAAGCGACTGGTCCATCCATCATCACGTGTCAGCTGCTAGTTTATAAGGAAAACAGACAAGAAGTCACACACAGGAATAAATAGGTATGTGAGCAGTTGACTACTGCATGGTTTACCATTGAAAATCCTGGCTATATGCCACTGTGTGCAGGTACAATGCACTTTTGTTGTATCATAGAGCTACATGTAGGACCATGTCTTTGATACTGTGATTGCACTGGTCTAGAATGGTCATTGTGTCCTTTCTATAAAAAAAATCCATTTACTGCATGTACAATGCGTGCATAAAAACTTTTTTTTTTTTTACAGTGCATTGCATAATTACCCATGCATTGTGCATAAAGGTTGGCATGAGCGTACGACTGAGAGCAACGACCAATCAGTCTCATGTCTGGCAAGAAAGCTTGCAGGCAACAAAAGGTTACACTACATACCGATAGTAAAAGCTTAATAACTGCCACAAAGTCACTTTAATAAAACATGATACATGTATTACCAAAGCATCTTTGGCTTCGCTAATATTTATATTTATACTTAATTACTGTAGTAGCATGTATGTTTTCAGAGATGGAAGTTTTACTGATGGTCCATAGCTTGTTGAACAAAGCATGTAACCATGCGCTCACTTGTACATGTAGGTCCATGTGTAGAGTTTAGTAATGAATTGATCCTGATGCACTTTGACTGAATCATGCCTTGTTTTTCTGGGCAGTGTTGTGGCATGTTAAACCAGAAAGTACTGTAATTACCAGTATTTAAATGCACAAACCACTTTGAAGTGCCCTTTTGGGTAGGAACAGGCTAGCCATCTGTGATCTGATATTTAAAAAAAAATGGTATACCCTGCATCATGATGTTCCAGTTTAAAGGGAATGTACAACATTCGCTTTTACTGCAATTTTCAGAAATAAATGGATTTGGAGGATTATTATGTTATAGCAAATATTGTTAAACTGACTTGTTTCACGTTTTGGGTTCATAGATGCTGGAAAAACCAAGAAAACCAGTCACGTTCTTGTAGTCTGGTTCCCTGACCCCACTTAAGACGAAACGGAACAATTTATAGACTTTGAGGAATTGTAAGGTCTGAGAATCAGTCTAGCGGGCTTGTACCAGGTTCACAGGTGTGTAATCAATTGTAAAAGAAATGCGGAATAACGAAAAATGAAACATTAAGAGCAGTTTTTGAAAAAAAATACAATTTTTCTTGAAAATGTCAGCACACCAGGAGCCACGATTTTACAGGGTGCTTTAGACTGTCACTCCCTAACAATCCAGTAAGGTAATTTGTGATAATTTGATCATGTTTGCAAATGTTGTATCTTCCCTTTAATATAAAGGTAACAAACACTGGTTGCATGCGCAACAGGTTATGTTCATTGTGAGAGAACCATCTCAAAGCTGAACTACCGTTTTTCAGTACGTGTACTTTATATATATATATATATAGCTTGGTAATAAGTTTGTTTGGCGTGTTCATTTATGTTATCTGTATGCTTACTGTTTTGGCACTAATTGAACGATTGTGTACATACATGTATATGCAAATAGTTGCATGCTAATATTTGACTGCTACCTGTGGTAGATGTACATGCATATTACATGTATGTATGTAATTAGCACAGTGCATGATCCAGCACAGTGCATGAATCATTGTATTAAACTTTAATTTTCCTTTCTACGTTAAAGTTAAATAAGTGGAAGCTTGCATTTAACAAGTTGTCAAGTCTGTTAAAGGGAACATTTGCTCTTTTTTTTTAGTGCAACAAATCATCATCTCTCAGTCTTTATAAGTCATTAACAATTGTTGACATTGTCTATTGCTTCTACATACAGGGGCGGCGGAACCGAGGGGGGGGGCCTTTGGGGGCACTCCCCCCCCCCCCCCCGACTTAACCAAGTGCCCCTTTTGCGGACATAATGTGCCTCCTAAAAAAAATGGCTTTAAAGTTTCTGATGTTTGTTTGAAGTATATCCCAAAATGGTATAGATAGTTTTGATATGAACAAGGAATATGAAAACCAAGCCCCAAAAGCCTCACAATGCGCCCTGAAAATGGGCACATAATGCGTAGTTTACTGCATAATGGCCGGTTTTGAAGAGCGCCCCCTATTTTTGAAGATGGTACCAGCCCCACCCCCCACCCCCACTATTTGATTTTTATAGAGGCCAAGTGTCCCCCCCCCCCAAGAAAAAAATCCTCCAAAATCTGTAATACATTTAGCACGATAGGTTATGTCAATTTTTCTGTATTTAAAGTTTTAAGTAAATATACACTGCCTTATTATAGATAGGTTAATATACAACTGTGTTAACATGAATAGATTTAAAGGGAATGTACATCATTGGCTTTTGCTGTAATTTTCAGAAAGGAACTATTTGAGGGGTTAGTATAATAGATCAAATATTGTTACACTGACATGTTTAGAGGTTTTGTGTTTGAAAATGCTGGCAAAACCAAGAAAAACAAAAATGTTCAAGTAGTCTGGTTCTCAGACTCCACTAAAGATAAAATGGATCAATTTATAGATGCCGGAAAATTGTAAGGTAAGGGAACCAGTCTAGCTGGCCTGCACCCATTCATGAACATGTAACCAATAGCAAACAAAATTTGGACTGAAAAAAAATGGTAAATTTGGAGCATAAAAATAGTCGGGTTTTTCCAATGGTGGTCGGCCAACCACCGTTGGAAACGTACACAAAAATACAATTTCCTTGAAAATGACTTGACACCAGGTGCCATAATTTTACAGGATGCTTTAGACTGTCATTTACCAACATCCTAGTAATGTATTTTGTAAAAACTTGGTAGTTTTATTTTTCGATGTTTGCAAATGTTGTATATTTCCTTTATAAATCGATACCAATGATATAAACGCAAGTGTAATTTTAAATGTTTTAAAATTATTTGCTGTCTTTGTTAAGAACTCAGGGTAAAAGCAAGCCTACTACCTGCCTTTGAAATAAAATATATATTAGAAAACATGTCTGCAGTTTCTTTTAATTCTTGCTTTCATGTTTGTGTTTACAATTTTATAAAGTGTTTATAACTTCAAATGTGTTAACGATTTCAAATGGATTGGAGAATAGAACATGCCAGTTAATGCAGAAAAACTGATAAAAGTCAAATCACAAATATTTTTCTCTGTCAGATTGATGTGGCCTTATCTGAGTCGAAATAAATCATATTACCGTACTTCGGTTCTGTTATTGTTAGGTTTCAGGTTGAGATAGCAGTGCTACTTGATTATTACATCATATGTGCATATATCCAGCACAAATGCTGTATGTTGATGGCAGTGTTGTAGTCGAGTACTTTTTTCCGAGTACCGAGTACTGCCGAGTACTTGGGTTACCGTGTATGAGTACGAGTACTTGTGCTTCCGAGTACAAGGACAGGTCTCCAAGTACGAGTACTTGTACCTCCGAGTACAAGTACCTAAGTTCTGAGTACGAGTACGTGTATGAGTACTTCTATTTCCGAAAACGGCCATGTGGCAAATGGTTCATTGTGCATAATAGGCCCAGTCAGACCGATATACAGACCCATTATGGCTAGCTGTTAAATGTGCGTGTTTGGACATGCGCAGAAGAAAATCAGGAAACCTTTTATTTCTCATCAAGCCAATCAACCATTTTCAAACGGAAAGTATCAATAAAATAAGGTGGTGGTAAGTCAAGCTTTACCATTTTTTTTTTTAGAGTACAACTATTCGAGCATGAGTACTTTGATGATCGAGTACATATCAAAATGTCAAGTTTGAGTTAATTGCTGCCCGAGTACGAGTACAATTATTTCAAGTACCAGTACTTTGACATTCATGTGCGAGTTCTCTAAAAAAGTACTTGAGTACTCGAGTACAAGTACCAAGTACTACACTCGGTGGCGTAAACACTCTGTGGCATAAGTCTGTGCCAACAACACTGGCTGATGGTAGAAAAGACTTCTGATGCTTGGCACACAACTGAGTTTGATAAGGTGTCATAAATACAGTTTCCTGTCTGGCAATTACTTGCATCCTGTGTAGGGATGTGCATTGAATTTCGGCCTTTGTTTTGCCTAAAGCAGGGTCATATGCCAGTCAATTTTTCATACGTACAAATATAAATGAACTGTTTTCTTTAAAGATGCATACCCCATGCTCTTAAAAAAAAAATCAATTTGTATGTTTTGTTTTAACAAAGAGAACTCCTTTTTTCTGATTTTGGGCATTTGCAACCCTTTGACAAGGACTTTCTTTTTGTGCACAAATGAACCCACCCTGCAGTGCGGAATTATCGTCTGGCTGCCAATTATTCAAATTTTGTGAAGAAATAATTCAATAACTAAACAATGGATATTTTTGTTCAAGCCCCATTTAAAAGGTGAATAACTTCAAATGTTCTTTGGAAAATAGCTACTGAGATGAAACTCGAAAAGAGCAGGGGAATTAATGCATTTTTAGTATTCTTACAACCATGCTTGCTTGCTTGCTTATCCTGATGTGTCCAGGTCCAAGTAAATAATAGAAAATAATATTACTAAGGAAATAAATACAGTGTGCTTTGGAGGTTTTAAACACAATGTTTAAGACTGGTTGCAATCTGGATGCTTCGGCTCGGGTAATTATCAGCATCCAGACTCCAATCGGTCTTAAACATACATTGTAGTGTTTAATACTTATCATTGCAAGCACATATTTTTTCCCATTCATAAATACATTTTTGGTAAAAAAAATCTAAACTTTTCGGTCAAAGTACAGACAAGTCAAAATTATAAATTTTCAACAATTCTGAATAACAAAACACCCCTCTGGCTATACAATGGTAAGCCTTCTGTAAACAACTCCTTATAATATATGGAGTTTGACGCGCGCATCGCAGGAACTGCGCGATGTGGTGCGCAACAAAGATGTACTTGTACCGGTGAAGTGTGAATTTAGGACTATGAAATACTGACTCCCTGGTAGTATTGCGCATTACATGAGAATTGTGAATGTTCAACAACAGATTTCATACTATGGAGTCCAAATTTCAGGTGACACTGGAAAAGTGGTTAAGACAAGCCAGCCATATCTTTATCAACCATTTAAAAAAAATATGTGATGTTCTCTCGACCAATAGGAACGGGTAAACTGTCTTATATGTAGGTATTGATTAAAGAGTCTTTAAGTCGTTTATTTGTCAATCATTATATTTGTTTTACTAAATTTGATTTTTAGTCACTTAAAAAAATGAAAATGTTGGCAGTGTTTGAGAGAAAAGTACTGTACAATGATTTATAAAATACTTGAAGACAAGACATTATTTTTTGCTATTCTTATCATTTACTTCTGGTAATGAAACCAAGGAAAATTAAGGATTCTTCAAAAGTGCCCTAGGCACTGTATATCACAAAAAACCTGTAGATTAATAGCAGGTTTAGTGGTGGGAGGAAAACCCCAGACGAATATTCTGGGGGAAACCTATGGAATCAGGCAGGGACTGAAAACCCAATCCATACGGTTTGCCCGGGCGGGACACACGATGGGTTGAACCTGGGTCACATGGATGGAAGGTGAGGAAAGTATCCGTAAGCCAACCTGTGACCAGCTGAGTGTATGTGACAGTTAGTACGTTCCAT